TGCAGATTTGAAATCAGCGTCAAAAAATACGCCTAGCGGTATGGGTCCCATTTCAAATGGTCACTTCGACTTAGGATCCTTCCCTTGTCAGCTTCGGAGTTGGGTCGTTCACCAGGTTGACTTCTCGATCTAGATAGAGTAGATAGAGAATTCAGACATATTCGTCCCGTTAAGCGTAAAGGGAGTACCAAGTACCAATTATCATTCCTTCATCATCGTCTTCATCACCATCAGTCTTGAGCCAATCGTTTCACAAGAGCTGTGAAACTTAGCCGGCATTAGTTCCACCTACTCGATGATCGGTAATGTAAGCACAATGTCGTCTGCAAGCGGAGGTTCGACCTTCATTCCCGTGTCATCCAGTTCTGAAAGACGCATGCTGTTCTCGAAGGTAGCACTGAAAAGTTCGGGCTGAAAGGTATTGTTTGTCATACCCCTCTCTTCACGCTGACAATGACTCCCTCATATAGAATGAATTCGGGTCGTGAAATTGTTGAGGAACTCGCGAAGCGTATTCATATATTGAGAAACATCCTGATTGCCCGGGGCTCAAGCTATCGCTTTTATCTCGACAGTGTCAAAGACTTTCTTCAAGTCGATGAATGTCACACATAGCAGCACCCTGTATTCCCCCACACTTCAATGAGTATGTAAGAGTGTGGATGCGACCGACTGCGCTGAACCGTCTCCGGAACCATATTTGCTCGCATGGCTGTTCCTCATTTAACATTCTGCCTGGGCAACAGTTGCCAATACCGGCGGGATCTCCGCTCTTATACAGCAACACAGACTTGCTAGTTTTTCAGGACGACGGCACTTTGCATTCCGACAGGTACAGCGTGAAGATCCTAGCGAGAGTTCCGACGGTGCAAGACTGATCAGATGTTTTGGCTGGATTCAGGATTTCGGGACCGGACGCCGTGCAGTTTTTCATCGACGTGATGGCATGTCTAATTCGAAGAGCGATCTGAAAGAGGGGCATATTTGCCTTGCCTAAAATGGAAAGTAGGCAGGTAGACGTAGCTTTTGGAAAGATCCGAGTAGAAGTCGTAGATGAATTTCTCCATTGCCTTTCGAAATGCAGGAAGTGCTCCGTCAATGCTCCGTCAGAACGACGAAAAGAAGTCATCTTGTTCTTTAATTGGCGAAGCTGCTGCGATGCTCTTCCCGTACTCGTCAGCTTCGCCCATGATTGCTGCTCTTCTCTCATTCAGATCTTCCTTTGACGTTTGCTGATGATTGCTCGTAGCACGCGCAATTACACACTCACGAAATCTGTAGTCTTCGAAGAGATACGTTCCTCGGCTATCTGTAGACTCTGCCAATGCCGATGCACGGCATACCAATCGCATTTACACTCTCCACACAAGTATGCACCTGCGGACCTATGGGTGCACCTACGAAATACAGAGAGTATAGCACAGTAGAAACAGATAGTCCACCTTATGACTTCATCTGCGTCTCAGGGCCAGAACCGGCGAATTTGAATTTGATCGGCAATCTACTCTCCTACCAACCACCTGGAGACGCCCTACGTAGCCTTGTCGCTAACCAACTAGGATCCTTCAGTGAGAGAGAATACTGGAAAAGGAGATCCAGAGATCCTTGAGCAAGCCACTGATGCCTTTCGATCAGAAGTCAGGCAATTCACCGACTTCAGATGCAATCTTCAAATCTCCATAAGTCACCGAAACCAGTGAGGCAGCTTTCTTGGCCAGTTGTGCGCAATGGCACACGCATTTGGACACCTTGCCAGAATTTCCCTCCCATCTGATTTTTGTCGTCACATTCTCATCCAACCCAGCCTTACATTTCACGAAACATACAGATTTTCGCGTTTTTCGATAATTCTGCACTTATCTGAGATATCACTCCCAGTATTCTTCTAAAATTATTATTACCGGCCTTTTAGCAGGTGGAGCAAATGTTATGTTAATTAAAAACGATAATATCTGAGGAGAACTGCAGATGAGTAACCTCGAACTAGCACGGACCAGATTTTCAGCCGAGCCCTCGAGACAAAATCGTGAGCGCGCTGTCGCCATGTAAGTATACTTCTGATGAAGTTCATTCTGGGATTCTGGGATTAATCGGCGTAATCGGTGGAGCAACTGACAAGTCTGCGTCCAGCGACTCATTGCGAATGTGTCTTTCAGCGCCCCATCACACTGATCGAGGAGGTTTCCGTCAACTCGAAGACAGGTATTTTCTGCAGCGAAGCGACTCAACCATTAGTTGGTGTAAAAAATGTATATAGTAGCTTCACTCGGTCCCTTTCACTGTCCTTACTTCTCTTATAGAATGAAACATGTCAAAGGGTCAAAGCTAGATCGCAAATACTAAACCACAACCTGTCACCCCCTATATCACCTAGTAAAATGTCAAAGTTCCATTCTCAACTCGAAGGGCGTGACAGACTTATCGGCTCTAGCCTTATCGCTTACTATCAGCCCATGTCACCAACCACCTTCGGTCTCCTCACAACCAAACCATCTACTGAAGTGTCACACCTCAACTGTTAGTGTGAAGGGCGTTAAAGTCCTAGAGGCTCACGCCTTCACCAAACACCTATGGTCTCTTCTGAATCCACGCCACCTACAAAAGTGCCAGGGCTCCACCGTTAACACGAAGGAGGAGGCGAATCGTGCAGCTCTTGTCTTCTAAAATTCTGTATCAGCTCTTTTCAATTTTTATCAGTTCCTGTAACCTACCATCAGTGCTCCCTTCCTACCGCTTGTACTCCTACCAAACTTAAACGCTCTGAGTCCTCAGAAGGACTTATAAATTTACGGTCAAACATCTAGTATTTCGCGCACGCTCCTCCCCTTGTAGGCGAGGTGCTTTCATGCCACCTGCCGTAGGTAGTCCCATTCTAGTCTGGGTCTACGGGAACAGGAACTATGAATTCTTGGTCATACACACACAGACCGACATACATACACATACCGACAAACCAATATACACTTACTGTTAGTGAATTATATTGTACCAGTCGGGCCGCCCGGCTAACGCCGGGCTTCCCTCCTTGTTATGATGTCGCCCGGCTTTGCCGGGCGCTCCTCCTTCTTGTTAGAAATTTGCTATACGTTAAAAACTCTTCGGATTCTTTTTTTTTTTTGAAAGCTCTACACCCTCAGTATTAGCTCCGAATTGGGAATTATGATTAAAGTCGGATTGCCCGGCTATCGCCGGGCATCCCTCCTTCTTTGACAAAGTTGTAGTAATCGGCTAACTCTCAAACCCTTCTTCGAAACAAATAATATTTTCCTGTACACGAAGTTTGACACAGAACTAACAGGGTACTGGTATTCAGTGAAAGTCGGTACTTATGTCTTTAATTAAGAGTCTCGATCTTTTGCTCTCGTTCTTGAAGATAAATACCCAATAAAGATTGAATTATCACGTAACCAAAGCCTTAGGCGGTACTTACAAATATTTCGTGTGATGATAACACCATTATCAGATGTTGTCAATGAACCTTTTACTCCACAGAAATAACATTTGTTAAGAGTTCCAAATAACTGGTGGTCGGTTAGGTTTTCCGCAAATGATACCAAACCAAGAGGATCCTTCATTGAGTCAAGAGCCTTGCTGGATAGTGGTCGAAATCATAGCGAGATATGATCAAAATTCTCGCCTGCTCATCGTAGTGCATCCAATGGGTCCCTATAACTGCGCTTACCACTTCTTTTGTCACACTACTCTACCATCTCATCTTATCGAATGAAACATACCGAACAGCCAAAGCTACATCGTAAATACCGAGGCATTCAGATTTCGATCGGCAGGTGACACTTGCCCTCTTAGGCCTCTCATCTTCTTATCAATTATAATCGGCTCTTGTCACCGAGTACTTGGGATCCAGCCATATCCTACACCACTATTAAAAAGCCGAGGTTCCACTGTTAACATGAAAAGCTGTAATCTTACCATATCTGAACTCTCTAGGTCCGCAGAAACAGAAGTCACGAATTTCCGCTCAAATGTTTACTCTGCACAAACCCCGCCCACTGTAGGCTGAGTCTGCACCTGTCACCTGCCATGAGTGTTCCCATCCTTGTCCCCGTATTCCTGCCAAATTCGACCTTTCTAGATCCACAGGAGCAGGAGTTATGAATTTGCGACCTGAAAATTTTATCGCACACTTCCCGCCCCTGCGGACGGAGTCCGGCCCTACCACCTGCCATAAATGTTCCCATGCTGCCCCCTGTACTCCTAACAATTTTGAACGCTTTGGGTCCACTGGATTAGGAGTTATGAATTTGAGACCTAAAACTTCTATAGCGCACGCCCCGCTCCCTGTGGGTGGAGTCTGGTCTTACCACCCGCCATAAGTGTTCCCATCCTGCCCCCTGTACTTCTGCCAAATTTGAGCTTTCTAGGTCCACTGGAACAGAAGTTATGAATTTCCGGTCAAACACACACACCGACACACCAACAGACACACTTAGCGAATTATATTAAGTAGGATAGGATTAGGATTAATAGCTCGAATTTTTCTATTCGATTTCCAATGCGAGTCGAACCTTGATTTCTGTAAAAGAAGTTATTGTTATTTTGGCAAGACTTCATCTGACTTTTTTGTCATCATTGGTTCCTCGATTACAATGTAATCTCTAAATTGTTATAGATTACGTCCAATCGCCAATTCACAAGACTTCTCACGTACAACTTTTTCACCTCACCTCTACGAGTAGGCAAACATCAACAATGGTGATTCCCCATTGATGATCGAATGAACCTACTCCTTTCAGTAACAGTCTATCACGTATCACTGTCCCATGCACTGCTAGTGTAAAAGTCGAAGGACAAACGTATTTGAGTCTGTCTACGACCTCGGCGCTACCCATTTTTCTACCCGTCGCCCTTGGACAGCCTTCTACACACTGGTCACGTCCACTTCTCACATTGACGCCCACTCCTTTTAATGATACCTTATATATTTGTCTTATGTATGCTACTTGGAATCGCACAAGGTAAGATTCGTATCGAAAAAAACAGTTCGGGCAACACAATGACCCAGACTTTACTGTGGAATTCGATCGAGAAGAAGTCAATCAACGAAGTGGTAGTTTGACTTTGTGCACCTTCAGGTGTCCTTCAAGAAAGTGTCCCGTTACATGTTTATCGACAAAAAATGATATTTAGTAGAGTCTTACTGGTTGGGGTGATGTATTTAGGTAAGAACGTCTAAAACTCTTGTTGAACATAGTAATAGTGAAATTATTCGACATGCTGACCCATTCAGGGATTGTGTCATGGTACTATCGATTAAATATTTTATTTAGTCGACCATATTTCCTTTTATTCTTTTACGCTAGGTACAATTTTCCGATATCACCAGCATCAGACTAAAAACAAAGGAACCCCGCCCTTAGATGAGTGCGACTGGATAATTTGAAATAAAATAATTCTACTGCACTTGTGGCTGTGTACTTGAATCAATTTCACTTTACATGACTTCACCTTATTCTCGAACAACGCATACACTGGAAACCCACTGTCAAAAAAACTTTTTTTGCTCCATATTCGTTTTCAACTATTCAGTAGCGTCGGATAGTCTCCCTCGTTTGAATGAATCTATCTCAATACGTTCATTTGCTTTATTTAGCACAATTATTCCTTGGGTTCTCTCCCTCACTTCCGTTCTTCGAACAGCAGCCGTTCCAATTTAGCCAGAACGTAGCCCCTTGGCAGCCACAAATGGTAGCAAATGAACATAAACTTTATCTCGATTCAAGCTCGAACTACGTTGTTCCGTTCAGGTACCCACACTGGCGCCGATTGAACGCATTGAGAACATGCCCAATCCCGATCTGGAACCAGGTGTCTGGGCAATACCGGATCCAAAGTCATGGCCGACTGGTCCTGATTGGAACGATCCACGAAACACGTGGAAAGGTATAGAAGGTTGGACGAGCAGTAAAAAGTTTACAACCACAGAGAACCGATCTCAATGAATAAATGTTTTTTTACGAACAATGGAGTAATTACTTGAGATGAACCAACTTTTTTTTGGTTCTCATCATCCTTACCAACCGGTTGCCCTTGAACATCAAGGGCACGTGAACCGAAACCTGTGTTGAGATAGCCAGCAGATACTGTGAGAATGTGCAGATTGGAACGAGCTTCACATCTTAGCGCATCAAAAAATGCCTACAATAAGAGCTTCACAACAGAAAAATAATCACTCGAACTTGTGCCAAATCTATTAAGAACTCCAATAACTGCAACAGTTCACCTGAAAGGCGTGTTTACTTGCACTGTAAGCACTCCTATATGGAATAGCTAACTTTCCTTGTATACTACTTGTAGCAATAATGCAACCGTCGTCCGGAATCGCGTCCAACAACTTCTGTGTGACCACAACGTGCCCGAAGAAATTCACATCCATGAGCTGTCTAGAAACTTCAAAATCTGGAATCCCCTGCTGATCTATATAATACGAAAAGCCTACTTGTAAATTTTTATCGGTGTGTTCTCTATGGCTCCTCGCATCGATAGTCCTGCATTGTTGATCAACACATGAATTGTTTTCCCATCGATTGCGTGGTTTCTTAGTGACTCGACGCCCATGGGTTCGCAAACGTCAAGATAGCTAGAGAGAAACACTAGGTGAACAATAAGCAAATGTTTGAACACGCAAAGCATTAGCGCTAAAAAAGTGCAACATGCATAATTTTTATAGGAAGAAAAAAAGCTATCACGGAATTTCATAGATATTTATTACATTATATTCATAGACATTGATTTATTTATTACACTTATAAGAGTGCGCCTGGATCAGATACGCTTGGCGGTTTTTGTTGAGCAATTATGAAGACTGCAAGTCACCTGAATCAAACTGCACATTACACCGTGATACTGATATTTATACTCTCCATAGGACCCATAGATTTCTAAAACACTTCGATACTTGTTTTGTTTTGTTTTGTTCACGAACCGGGATGAAATCTTCACAGTGAGCAAATCTACCTAGTATAATTTAATTTGAAGCTCCCGTACCTCTCCCTACCCTTTCAAACAAGAAATATACAGCCCAGACACCAGATATCCGAATATCTTTCACTACTTTTTCCCATGCGGGATCATTTCTCTTCCCTTTTTTCCTGATTTTCTCCTGTTTTATACCTTCAAAAAAAGGCCAAGAACATCTTAAGCGCTACACCCATTAACTTAGCAACTCCTCTATCGGGAACTGTCATTTTTCCCTATTCAGACGGGAAAAACAAAAAGAATAAAGGGAAAAAGTGGAAATCGGATATGGGGATAACATTCAACAGCTTACAACAAAGCTACGCTGCTACGGTATGCGCACTTTGCATATCAAACACATGAGGGAAGGTAGCTACGCCCTATACCACTTCTCTCGACACACGAGGTAGAGCAGTGGGGTTAAACAGATCGCAAATACTGGACAGCCCTCAAAAGGCCATATCAGAACATAAAGCTGCATACTTGCATGCAAAACAATCGCCCAGGCTCCCTATTTTTCCCTTTGCTTTCACTCTGCTTTCACACTACCAATGAATACCTCAATAACTCTAAACAGCGAGAATATGAAAAAAAAAACTTCAAAACTTAATGTAGCGTGCTGCCATTGAAGAAAACGGATGAAATACTTTAATTCCAACTCTAATTCATACCTGTATGCGGGCTCATAAGGGTTCCCGCTGAAACTACGCTTCAGCTCTTCGCATAAGTCCTTCAACTTATCAATGCTGCGAGCCGTAAGAATTACTTTAGCACCTCTTTTGTATAGCTCGAATGCAAAGGCACGCCCAAGTCCTGAATAGCGTCTTTGAAAATTGTGTTGAATTGGACGCAACTTTCTGATGGAGTAGGTTGATGAGACACCTGAACTCGCCCCCGTAATCAGAACCGTTTTATCCTTGAACAACAGCTTTGAATGATGATGTGGTCCAGGGAGAAGGAATGAGCACAATCTGAAATGTCCTGAGTTATATGTATTCCTGCTCTGAAGTAGCCAAATTGCTCACTTGCAAATGGAGTACAAAGCTGCAGGAATTACTGCCCATTTGAAATAGTGTTGCAGAATTGCTAGCATTTCTTCAGTTATCTTCATAATTGATCCTGCCGCCAAATAAGGCTGATAAAATGCCAGATTCCCGCAAAAAGCGAGAAACGAGGAATAGTCGTATCTTCGAAATGAAAACGAAAAAGATCAGTTCTCACAACGAAAGGATACTTGGTCACATTTACGACAATGCTGACATACTGGTCTATTGAGGTTTGCTTGGTCAGCAAGGGAAGAATACTGGGCGACTGCCATTCAAGATGAGATTATACCCAGATATGCGATTTAAAATGGTGATCTCATCTGCGCAACGATTCTGAAAACAAAGTTAGGGCGAATTTCTTCAATATGATATGTACTCTTTTCAATCGTGTATCAGGGGAGTCGCTGCGAGAGATGCGAAGAGATGGCGCAGCAGGTAAGGTAATGGACTTTCAAACATGATTGAGGTTTTGCATCCCTTGGTTGCATTTTTATTAAATGTATGCCAAGCCTTGCAAAACAGTTTCATACCTCCCATAGACTACATGCATACCCAGCTCGTCATCCTACTATATATATGCGCTAAGCGTGTCTGTTAGCTTGTCTGTCTGTCCGTGTATGTGTATGTGTATGTGTATGTGTATGTGTGTGTTTAAAAGGAAATTCATAATTACGATTCTTGTGGACCTAGAGAGTTCAAATTTGGTAGGAGTACATGCGGCAGGATGTGAACACTTATGGTAGGTGGTAGTACCAAACTCCGCCCAAAGGGGGCTAGATTTGTGCGAACTTAATGTTTAGGCAGTAATTCATAACTCCGATTTCTGTGGACCTGGAGAACTCAAATTTGGTAAGAGCACAAGCGGCGGGACGTGAGCTCCGATGTCAGGTGACAGGACTAGACTCCGCTCACAAGGGGCGGGGGCTTGAACAAAAATGTCATATTGAACCTGGAGCGCTAGAATTTGTTAGGAGTACAGGAGGTGAGATGGAAACACTGATGGAGATGACAGGACAGGACCCCACTCACAGGGGGCGGGGCGTGCGCAAAAAATGTCAAATTGGGTCTGGAGCGCTAAAATTCGGTAGGAGTACAGGAGGCAAGATGGGAACACTGATGATGGGTGGCCGGACTGCACACCGCCCACAAGGGGCGTGGCGTGAACGAAAATATTCAATGCGGCCTAGTCGAATCTTCAATGGGTAATATTTTCAAGATGAACTGCAGCAGACCTTCTTTAACTTCAGCAGATCGAGACTTCCAATTTGGGCGTAAGCATCGGCACATACTGAATACCACTTGAATACCCTGTCAGTCCTCTCACAACTTTCGTGTTCCGAGAAGTATTACATGTTGCACAGAAGGAGCGGACCATTTGCTGATTAGTACAACTCTACNATGAGAAGGAGGGAGGCCCGGCGTTAGTCGAGCGGCCCGACTGGTAATGAATATCGAAGTACTTCATAAACAGAACTGTGTTTTCCCTTTTCGGCTCTCAATAGCTTCCAATGCAGTAGAACTGCTATGTTTGTTAATGTTCAATAATGTTTGCTTGAAATGAATTCCTTCTTTGTTAGTTTTCTTGTCTCGCTTGGTGCTCGCGTAATATAGCAGGAGCTGAATTTCTTCGGCATGAAAGTTGACATCGCTTTCGGACAGAACACATATTTGGTGGGCCGCTGCAAAGCCCTCTGATTTGGTGACTGGCCCTACTTTTTTTGGAACGAAAGGTATTCGAGTGTGTTGTTCTCATGATTTGACACTTGGGTAGCCCAGGTGAAATGGCCATCGTCTTTCCTTTCGATGGCGGAGAAAATTCGAACTTCCATTCATGAGGAGCAACTTTTGCTCTATCATTGCCGAACATCATCAGTGTGATTATACTTTACCAGGCGGCTACGCACGCTATTGCGTGCGCTGAGGGCTCTAGCCATAGGGGACGGAGCCACATGGGCTTCTGATTTTCATTATAGATCTTTGTCATTTGAACCTCTTCCCTAACACTTCTGTAGTGGCCATCATTCTTTTTGGGGTGTGAAATGGGGTTGTGTCTGGCCATGAAGAGTACTCCGATGATCCAAATCAAATACCTCTGCAGTCCATGTAGTCGAAGAAACCCTGTGTAGTTTGGGCTGCGTTTGGCCATGAACACCATCTTTGAAAGAAAAGCCCCTTTGGATATTTGTAGAGATTTACACGTCTCTACAGGGTATGCACCTGTGTTGCCGGGGTTATTGTACAATTTATTTTATGAGGTCTGAGTTAGTTCAGTGCGTTTGCTCTTATGTAGAAGGGACTACTGTGTGTGGAACCACAGACACTAACTTTTAGAAAATTTTCAGTCTAGTTTTTGAAAGAGTTTAGCGGTATCCTCTAGTTGTACACCTATGTGGTCATGGCTATTGCGAAGGACAGGTGTATAAATTTTTGATCTCAGCCTCGCCCCCTCTTTACAAACTCCACCCACTTAGACTTCGAACCACATTACTTTTACTACCTCCAAGCACTTTTTTCCCGCTTTCTAAAACGCGTCTGAAGAGAATCAATAATTTTGTTGCAAGCTTCGCCCACTTTCGTTACAATCCCGAACACTTGCGGGATTCAGCCACATATGTTCTACCACATCTTACCACTTCTTCCCGCATCAAACAACGTTTCTTTATAGGGTTGTATGTTTTTGATCTAAGCCCCGCCCACTTCAGTGCCAACTCCGCCCACTTCCGGGATTTGACCACATCTGTTCTTTTCCACCTTACCACTTTTTTACCGCGTCCCAGAATGTTTCTAAATAGAGTTATGAATTCTTGATCTAAGCAACGCCTACTTTGCTGCAGGCCCTGCCCACTTAGGGGATTTGACCACATTTGTTCCATTACCTCTAACCACGTCTTTCCCCCCATCCCAGAACGTTTCTGAATAGAGTTATAAATTTTTGATCTAAGCTCCGCCCACTTTGATGCTAACCCCCCTCCCCCCCTTTTCGAGAAGTTGGCCACATTTGTCCCATTACCTCTAACCACTTTTTCCCCGAATTCTATAACTTTTCCGAACGAAGTTACACTCATTTTTGAAAAGTAGCTTACACTCAACGCACGCCCCGCCCATCGTGGGCGGGGCTTCGCTATACTTACGCATGCCCAGCACGCATGAGGCCTTGCTCACTCTTTTTATTTTTTTTTCTGGCCTCGACGCCTTCGTTGAACCGAGTTATGAATCTCTGTGGAAAGTACCGCCCACTGCGAGAACGCTCCGCCCACCGCCGGTAAGTTTCCTTTATTTCAATTGTTGACCCATCCCTCACCTTTGAACATTTTCTCGGAGTCTCGAATGTTATGAGACCGAATTAGAGTAATTCGTCCATGACCCCCCTTGGGGGCGGAGCTCCGCTAGGCTCACATCTGCTTTGTTGCACTTACCCTCTCAACCCATCCCAAACTTGACCCGACTTCCCCAGGTGTTTCTTCGGGTTATATCGAATTTCCGCACAAACAAACAGACAGACGGACAGACAGAGCGCTTTATACATAGTAATGATATACCACAAATGCCCGTCTGTTTGTCGCTTTGCCGCATGTCTGTTCATATCTAACCACCTCGTGAATATGTCGCCTTCTTTAAATAAAAGTGGAAAAGCTCAGCTAGGTTGGAACAAGTGGGGAATGAGCCGAGCTACATGAGAACTTGCGACCCAAGCTGGACTACGCCCACAAGGAGCGGGGCGTGTGCAAAGTGTAGTCCACTCCAGAAATATATAACTGCTGTTCTCTTGGGCACTGGCATGAAGTATTCAAATTTGGCAGAGTAACAGATAGCAAGACAGGAAATCTAATGGCAGGTGGAAAATATAGACTCCGCCCAATGGGAGCGGGGCTTGCGCGAAAATAGTTAATTTGGACCTGGGGCGTTCCAATTTGATCGAGATGCAGGCTGCAAGATCGGAAAACTTGTGGCAGGTGGCGAGTGTAGGTCCTGCCATCTTGGGAAGGGCTTGTGCAAAGTTTGCTATTTGGACGTGGAACTTTATGTTGAATAGAGATGCAGGCGCCAGAATATGAGACTAATGACGGGTGGCAGGACTAAAATCCGGAGAGGAGACAGAGGAGGAAATGGGGATCCGAAATCGACGACAACCTTGTCTAATGGTTTTTTAGATTATGTAGCGTTAATTCTAAGTTGCCTCCCTTCACAAGTAGCTTTCGTGTATGGTGAGGATACACTTTCCCGGTAGAAAAAGCCCACTGATGTTGGCCATACGCCGATATGCTATATCACTCCATTGTGTAATTGACCGCTACCTGACAGGGTTCCCATAGAACTTCGAATAGAGACCTAGGTATATCGATAGTGTTCGAAAAGTTATTAATAATTATGGGAATAAAACTGCAAATTAAGTCTACCAAAAACGTTGTGAGCGTTCAAAGTTTGCCTGCTTAAAGCATGCAAACCTTGAACGCTCACAGATAGTGTATGCGTGAAAAACTGAGTAGTGATGAAAAAAATCCAAGAAATGAGTGAGGCGGATATGTTGTACACAAAATGCGTACCTAATATGAACACTCTGTCACTCTACAATCGTAAATAAAACATACAATCGATTCGAGACCAAAAAATACACGTTTTCTTGACCCATGTTTTGGGTTGTCTCATCGATGTTGGGTCAACTCGCGTGTCTAAGACTATTTCACTTTGGGTGTGGGTATGCGTGTTTCGGTGTTGAGAATGAAAAAGCGTTACAAAAATGACGTGGAGAAATTTTGAATGTGTGGTGATAGATAATAGATAGGTGGTCGAAAATGGAAGCCGAAACAAAGCGCTAACTTAGATTAGCAAGGAAAAACCGTTCAGGAGCTTTTATTCGGATGAGAGCACATTTTGCAAAAGCGAAAACGACAACCCTCACCTGGATAGGAAGAGCACTGCTACTGCGCCACGGTGACCATTGTGGCCAATGCGGGCAACTGCGCTCATAAACTGGCACTGTCTCTACATGCCTTAAGCATGCAAGCTTTGAAAGCTCACAACTTTTTTGGTAGACTCATTTTGCAGTTTTCATTTACATATTAGTTAGTAATCCTATCGATAAGCCTAGGTCTCTACTCAAAGTTCCATGGGAAGTTGAAACCCTTCCCTGGTCAGGCATTTTAAACGTCCAAACACTTCAACGTCCTCGTCCAAATTAGCGATTTTCTCGCTCCCCCGCCCCTTGAGGGCAAAGCCAGGTCGTGCGAGCGCCCATCGGCATCACCATCCTACCGCCTGCACCCCTACCAAATTTGAACCTCCCAGGTTCAAATTAACAATTTTGGCTCACGCCTCATCCCCTGTGGGCGGAGTATAATACTAACATATCATCAATGTTCCTATTCTCCCGCCTGTACTACATTCTACCAAATCTGAAAGTTTTAGGTTCACGAAACAGGAGTTATTAGTTTTTGCTCAAACTTTATTCCGTGCAAACCTCACCCCTGTGGGCGGAGTCCAGCCCTGCCATCGCCATACACGTTCTCATACTGCCACCTGTACTCATGCAAAATTTTAACGCTCTAGGTCCATGGGAGCAGGAGTTATAAATTCCCGACCAAACTTTTCTTACGCAAACTCCGCCCCCCCCCCCCCCCCCCCCCCCCCCCCCCCCCACCTGTGGGCGAAGTCCGGTCCTGCCACTCACCGTATGTCTTCCCATTCTGCCGACCGTACTCTTAGCAACTTTGATACCTAAGTCCAGTGAGACAGGAGTTATGAATTTCTGGTCAACACACACACCAACAGAAACTTATTAACGGATTGTAAAAGTAGGATATACATATTTCTTCTGGAACGACCACTGCCTCCCACTATTGACCACTGCCACCCACTATTCTTCCTTGTTAGCCGAGCAATTTCTAACTCAATAGACCACTATGCAAGCATTGCCATAACAAGAGGAGAAACAAAATCATTTCAGATAAAAATAAAAAAAAAGAAATAAAATTAACAAAGCGTGGCTTAGAGAAAGTCAAGAACATTCTAAATCAAGCATGAGGAACAAACAAATGAATACAAAGAACAACTCCATCCAGCCAAGAACAAAATCAAAGAAAGCTAACAATCAATGAAAACGATGGATGGTTCAATACAGCAAAAATATTACATTGAAATATACATATACATATCGCGAGAGAACGCGCTCACGCAACCTGATTTGACCTTTCTCACTGCTCTCTTAATATTGTTCTAATTGGCAGAGTAGAATGCTTTGAAGGTGTACCATATTCCAACAACATGGTGTTAAATTGAAGAATTGAAGCTATTTGCGTAAGTGGCCTCAGGATGGAAACGAAGTCAGCGGATCTAGGAGTTAGAAATAGTACAAAGTCGAATGATGCGGCTGAGCTTTTCGAGTATGGACTATTGAAATCACTGAATTAAGCTTCTTCTAACACTATTCATAGCATTCTTATAGATGTGTGCCACTTATGCTATAATAAAGTGCTGAAGCAGTAGTAGTAACAGTAAAACGGTAAGGAAGTAAGCGATAGTAAAGATTCGGACAAGGGGTGTTGGGTAACGATTGTGCTCGACAGGTTAGAGGATATGAATTGTTCGATTTTTTTTNTTTTTTTTCTCTTTTTCTTTATTCACATGCATTGAGTAGAAGTATGTAAAAATATACGCCATTGCAATTGTAATAATTATAATTGCAATTGCAGACCAGGTTCCAATACACATGTTATCAACCACGGCAAAGGTTATCACAAAATCGCTACAGATTCAAAATTGCTGAGACTATAGTCGCAACTGGTATCAAGAATAAATCCTAAAGTGTTTCATAGAGGGAGGCTCGACGGAAACCAACTAATTCTGGAGGCAACAAGATCAAAATGGCAACAACCGGCACCTCTACAGGGATTACAAGGTGATTAGCTGGAAAACATGGAAATACAGAGTTTATGAAAAAAAAAATGAAGCCAACAACACGACCGGGTCAATCTTTTGAAGATGAACGGGTCTTTCGACAAAGGAGACTAGCAAGGATTGGACAACAGAGTGCGAATTTTTTTTTTTAAATCGAAGTTCAACTCGAAGTAAATCAACGTGTCCAATTTATTTCACAGGGGGAGGGACTATAGGGAAAAGTTTTGTTGAGTGTATATCACAAAATTTTTTGTTCAACTTCACTCTCCATTATCACGAGAAAAAAGTCATGCTTCGGTCCACTGTGTACTGTGCTGTAAACCGACAGACCATATAAAGGGATGGAGAGGGGATACTCGCAGCTAAATCTACCCGGCGAAAAATTGGCGGACGAGTTGTGCGCAACATCTACTCAATAATCAGCTTCAAAATCAAGCAATTCGTTGTGGGACCAAGAGCAGCCATCCTTTTCTTGGTGTTTTTCATTTCCGCTCACGGTAACGGTCTGCTATTGCATAACCTTACGTTTACTTTTCCGTTTTCAAGCGAGACAGAGGCAGAGTGCAGATGAAGTAACATCCAACACTGAGCGCTAGAGAAGGGATTTCGGATATCGCGAGCCCATAGTGGTGCCAAAAAAGGATTTTCTCAATTAATCTTGCGTCGGGAAGGAGGGAAGGAAGACCAGGGTGGGTGAGTAGAGTGAGAGGTGGAATTGAATGTTCAATTGTTACCCCATCGCAACTTTCTGCAGAGGTAATCATCTTACCCTCCTGGTGCTCCTAACTTCTCGAAGCTTCGGTAAAAACTACACATATTTTTTTTGCCAAGATTCGCCTCTAAGCATAAGCGAACTGAGCTAACTTCGTGCTTAGCGTTCCAACGCTCAATATTGGATAGCCCCCTACGTCTAAATTTTCACCAGGGTCAGTGACCTCACTGCGGTACAGCCATTTTTAGTGGCTCATTGAAGCCATTTTTAGAGGCAGTAGTCAACAAAAGTGGCTGGCTAACTATCGGTCAATGTGTGACCCTTGATATTATCACCCACAGATTGGATAAGAAACAGGAGCGTCTCCAAGAGCATAATTTGAATAACTAGCTCAAACATGCGGAAAAATGGAATTGGACTCAGGAAAGGGGAACAACTTGAATTAGAAAAAGGTAGCCAGCTCCTACCGACCATTGCCACTTGATATTATTGAGAAGATACCTTCTCACCTTTGTTAAATGTCTATTCACCGAAGTAATTCCCATGAGATGTCATATTAAAAGTTTTATATCCCGAATACGACAATTCTTGGCATAGATTTTACTATTCATTATCCAATTTTTATTCTTTTCACCATCATCCTTCCCTGAAAACCATGATAGTATGCTTTCTGTTTACGTGGAAAGCCTTCATCAGTATCCCGACAATAATTTCATACAAATCGCAACACATTTTATTTACTCCTTAACTCTATTGGTTCCCAGAGGATGGCTAGAAAGATGTTTCACACTGCTACATAGCATTTACACTGCATGCTTACAGCATACACACGCGCATACTTGCAATGTACTGTTGTGTTCGGGATCGGAATCACTATTATGAAGTCACGAATTGCACCAGGAAATATAGCGATGACTGAGTCGATGGGATGGTCCCGCAACGAATTGCCTGATTTAAAGGCTATATCTATAGTTGTCGCTTTAGTTGGATAGTTGTAAACTCGTCCGCCAATTTTTCCCCGGGTAGGTTTAGCTGCGAGTAGAGGGGATCAAAGGGGAGCTGCGTTAAGAAGCGGTTTCATGGAACTCAGTCACATCACGTACGAAAACAATTCAAGATTTTAGTGAATAAAATAAACAAAACCTGAAACGCGATGAGCGATATTCCCAAAGCCGTTGCGGCAGCCTTGCTAGTACGGGTGAAAATGTATCCGACGCACCTACAAAGGATGTTTAAAGAGGTTCACCATAAGCATTCAGGCTTTTGCAATCGTATTCTTCCCAAAGAAAGTAAAATAGTTCGTGCAGTTCAAACAGAAATCATTTATTACTCAACTCAATGAAAATGCAATGGATTTTTAGGAGCACTGCTATTAGGCAGCATGTGAACAGTAAATTAGACGTTCTGCAGTCAGTAATCACATGTAATCACATGGCACGAGCAGCATGTGCAAATACTAGTCATTAACGTGAACTTCCAATAGCGGACGATACGAACTTTTGCAAAGCGCAACATTGACACTCGCACTGTTCATGGATCGGACAGCACAGGGAATAACAAGACCTTGTACCCTCTGTAACCAGTCTTTTCGCACATATAGCATAATATAGCATGAAGTGGAATGACTATATGAACACTTTTGAACTTCGAGACTCATCATATTATTCGTATTTGCAAAAACTTTTTGCAAGGGTTTTTATGAGAGCACGGATCTATGATACATGGCGCATAAAAAGGGCGTCAAAGCCGGCTTCTCTAACCTTTGCGTTTGTCAAGGGCAATATAACCGGATCCAGCAACTAGAACTACCATCATATCGATGAATCAGGTCTCTTTAATTGTGAGGACCGCGGCTATTTTCTGTTCTGTTCTGCCGCAGCCCCGTTTGGCTGCTTTCAGACCTCAACGATTCATCCGTCCGTCCGTTCAGCGCGTGCTGCGACGGCGGCGCCTGACCGTTGTTGACAACACTGGATCACGTGCCAGCGCTGTCAACACTATTCTGGCGACCGCCGTCGCAGNCTGCGACGGCGGTCGCCAGAATAGTGTTGACAGCGCTGGCACGTGATCCAGTGTTGTCAACAACGGTCAGGCGCCGCCGTCGCAGCACGCGCTGAACGGACGGACGGACGGACGGGCGGACGGTCGTCGAACACTGAAAGTAGCCTTTACGCCAGTCTTCGGCTGTTATGCTTGTCTGACCAGTAAGACACCCACCACCACCAACCCGTGTCCTTTAACCAGGTATTTTTCTCTGACAAAGCTATTTGTTCCCCACACATAACACTGATCAATAACATCTTAATTGGATGCCGATTTAGCGAGTGAAACAGCAAAAATAACAATATTATATTAAGAAGCCCAACCTCAACACGAACCAAGCCTTCACATACTCGAAAAGGCTATCTTTACGACTTTTTAAAATTTCAACATAAATCGTTTTTGTTATGGAGCCAACAGCAAACAAGGCTTACAGTCCAGCTGCACCTCCAACTGCCATTTGTGTAGGCGGAGGCTTCTTATTGATGTTGTCGATAAACGACAACGTCCGCTCCCATGCAGATTGCCGACGAATACCTCTTTTGGCCAGATCAAACGACTCCAGCACTTTGTCAAAATCAGTGGAACCCATCTGAAATGGCGGATGTATACTCATCTCCTAGCTCATTAGTTTTTTTTTTCACCAGGCCAGCCAACCGTGGAAGACCGACAAGAAGTGCAATACCAATTTTGTGACCATTGTAAGGCAACATGATGAAAGCGTGTTTGGGGAGGAGGCACCGCTCATCCAACCCTAAGCGCTAGAGTGTGGAGAAAGAGACGAGACGGATTCAAACGTCCCGTGAATGTGTCACACAGCTAGTTCTCAAATTGACCTCGTATGGAGGAGCACCGGAGTGTGTGAAAATTACCTCGTGCATAAAGCTCGAATGGATTAAGAATCGAACATTCAGTTGGCTCACCCGCCCCGAGCTCATTTTTTCCTACGACCTAGAGAAAAAATTATATTTTCTTGGATGAGAAACTTCTTCTAGCACAATTATTTGGTCGCGAAACTCTCCTTCTCTGTGCAATAGCGCTCATTGTTCGGATATAGCAGTTTCTCTCTGCTCCCTCTTCCCATATACATTTCACTAGCGATATAAAGCAATGAACAATCCAAATAAGCAGGTCTGAAAGAAAGCAGCGAAAGAAGCAAACACGAATTTGAAGTTACAAGGTACTTCAATAATGTATACCAATGTAAATCGAAGCTGTAAAAAGCCATATTGAACTAGTTTAAAGGTTTATAACGTTTGGCGCGATTCCTCGCAACGCATCGCCCATTCGGCGCGTTTTGTGAGCTGGACAACTCGTCCAAGCACCATGAAAAAGCCAAATAGATGATGTAGACAGGCAGAATACAAGCAGGTTCGCAATTCGGCGTATAATAGTATCCCTTCACAGTAGTCAAGTGAGGTGTTTCATGCACATTGCGTACACAACGCAAGCCTGCATTTCTCTGGGCGGACTTCTCGCATGAGTTATCAGAGAGTCAATAGTAGTACGTAGATGGGTGAACGAATAGGTGAACAAATAACTGAAGGGGATGATACAGAAGCGTTTAGCGATGAGTACCACTACTTAATGAGGGGGTGAAGAAGGGCCTTCATTTCCTACAGCATTTCCAGTTTTTTCGCAAATTTCCAACCATTTTCCACATCCTGCTTTATGGCCGATTGTCAGGTTTTTCAACATACGTCCTGCTCCCTACCTCTTCCCTACGTAGCTGAAAATTGAGATCCAGCAAGTCAACAATTGAGAAGCTGAAATTAAACGATAGGAAACACAAAGCTTGCGTGAAACTGAACTGAATCTGAACTCAATTTTGGTGGCAGAAGAACGTTTTCTGAAGCAGTGCATGTCGGAGGTACAGATGTGCAATTCTTGTTGTGCTGAAAATCAGCAATGCAATACGTGGGGAGTGGTTAGAAGGATTGCAAATCTTTGTACAAATGATGATTAGCCTTCTCCGCTAGTTCATGAAGTGTGTGCCATTAATCCATGTTCAGTTAAAGGTGAGAGAGCCTGTCATGAACACGAACTACGAAGGTCCAAATATTACCACATAAGGAAATTAGTGGACTTTGAAATTCAAGAAAAACCCAAAAGCCCTAAAGAGTAGATGGAGGGACGGAAATAATAAGGATCTCGTCGAAATTAAGGTGACAGCAGAGGATAGTGTGAAATGGGGATGGAAAGAAACTTCAACGACCAATAAGATTGGCGCACTCTGTGACGGCACAGGATTAATATTGGAGAAAAGGGGTAGTAACAGTTTCGGGCACATTCCCATCACTAGCTTAATTTCATACACTGATTGTCTTTGATTGAGGACTCCATTTTTTTTGGCAAAGTTCATTGAATTCAACATATATTTGCTACTGCATATCTAAACACCTAACATGGTCCAATTTTCTTTACCAGAACCCGCAGCAGTAACAAACCTTCTAGAGCAGGCTATAAGTCAATCCTTCATATCTTTGACATCCTCTCATTCGTTTCAAAAGGGTAATGAGCCGAAGAGTATATTTGAAAGGCAACACCGTTTAAGGGCAGAGATGGTGTAGTGGCAAGTTGCGCACATCGCACACCAATGGTTACGGGTTCGGATCGCGGATCTCGGATATCCGGTCAAGACAGCAAGCCTTCCATTCCTCCGGGGTCAATTAATTGGTACCAGATTCGTCTGGGAGGACAAAAGCACTGAGTTGTACATCTTCTGGCCACCGCAAGTCATTGCTTAGGCCACACACGCATTCAAACTGCCACTGCGATTCTTAATGGAAGTAGTATACGGGCGACACATCCCTAAAAGTGATGGATCAATAGGAAAAGGCTTTTATTCCGTTCTTCAACATCGTTCGAAACCGGTGACAATGCCTTTTTAACATTATTGTGCGAAATATGTATGATATTCCTAGAAGAAAGGTGGGAAAGAAAAATTTAAAAGAGAAGTATCGGCTCTTGTAAGCTTTTTTCTCTGCATTTTATCACCTTGTATCGCCTTTCAACCCGTTGATCACTGCTTTCCTCGAGCGGGCGCCAGTAACGTCTCCATTGGTCCAGGTCGCTAGCCAGGGGGTGTGCTGCGATTCACGCGTCAATGTAATGAGGTCATTGTACAAAACGCGCTAAAACATCATGCCTACCATCATAATGGAAGAAATAAGAATTATAAGTAGAATAAGTAAAGAAATGACCAACTATGCAAGTTTACAGAAGGATTGCGTTTACTAGTAACAAAAAATTTGAAGCTATTATTATTTTGAACATTTGACAAGTAAATTGTTGACCTATGAGGTGAATTCTCAATCTCGAAGAGGCTTTTTTTGCCATAGTAAAGAGATTTGCTCTAATTCATGGTGGAGCCGTGGACTACTGCAAATTTATTTGGTCCATCTCAACAGAAAGGTACTGAAACGATGCTGCGTGCGCGAACAGCTCTAATGGGGTCACGTGTGAATCGCGCGCCCCCTCTAGCCAGGGTAGCCCAATGAATCGTACTCGCTTGTGGGACGCGAGGGTAAAACACAGCTTCGTTCAGAGTTTTCGTAAAGAAGTATGACTAACGGGGCGGCGGCTGTCCTGGTGTTCGTTTGACGTCGCGAGGGATTCAGTTCGTAACCGCACTGATCATCACTATGCCGTATGACATGCCCGCCCCATAAGATTTTCTATTTCTTGGCGTAATCAGCGGCATCCCTGATCTTCGTTCGTCGACGGAGCTCGTACCACCAGATTCCCCTCTGCACTTGCGTGTATAGGAAAATTCCGAGCATCACCCTTTTCACAGATTGTTGGATGACTCCAACTGCATGCTCATACTGCCTTCGTAGAATCCAAGTCTCTGAGGCGCAGCAAAGCAATAAAGGCCGCAGTGTCGAAGAGGTGAGCACGGAGCCGGATAATCTGTCTTCTTCACTACTCCCTCGATGTTCTCAGACGCTTCCCACGCTGCGCGTTCCCTTTTGATCAGCTTCAGAGCTAGGTCGTTCACCATATTGAGTTAGCGACCCAGATACACATAGCTCAAGCATTCAGAGATGTTCGCTCCGTTCATCGTGAAAGGAGCATCAGGTGCCAATCCGATTCGCATGAACATTGTCTTTGTTAAATTTAGTCGTCACAAAGTTGCCGATCGTTTCACAAACCTTGTCGAACTCGGCTCAGCGTCGTTCCACCTGCTCGATGTTCGATATTATATGCACTGCCGTGACGCCCACTTCTTCCACGCAAGAGGTGTTACTACACCACGCACGCATTATTCGACACGTAGTACCATTTCCACTATTCATGCTGCGCGCTGCTCGCATCGATTGCCACGTAGCATTGGACGCCGCGGCATGGAGTGTGCACACAACACCTCTGCTGTTCACTCCAGATCATTCCTATCGCTCGGTCGGCACGTTTTCTGACGCAACACTATCGCCACAGTCATCCAGCTTCGCCGATAAGTTAGAAAACAACACACAGGCACCAATACAGTTTTCTTCTCTTTTTTCTTTTTTCAGTTTTTTCTCCTTCCATTCTTCCTGTATCCCTTCCAAGCTTGAATGCTCTGAGTTCAGGGGGTAAGGAGTTTCGAATTTTCGGCGCATACATACATACATACATACATACATACATACATACAACGGTTGAGAACTTTCTGATACCTTATGGAAGCAACTTTGCAGCTTTAATCAAAGAGATTACTCTTTTGGGGAATGTGTTTGAAAAATTAGGTGCGAAGTGTCGGAACTACATCCCGGTGACCTACTGTAGGGGCCATTTTACGAATCTATCGTATACATCCGGTTACATCCTGCACCGGCCAACTACAGTGTTATCGCTGGCAAACTATGACAATTCGAGCCACTGAAATGGGTAACTCATGGAACGAAATCTCTGAAAATTGCAATGATGTTCTAATGAAGTCATGGGAACTGCTTCAACAATTGTCATAGAGCGGTAAGTCGAAAGAAATAGGACAATGTCTGGAAATGGTAAACAATTCATTTCTACAACTCTACGTTCCTACCGATGCCTACGTAACAGTAATAGTTTTTGTTGGATCAATATTCGTAATACAATAACATTCAGAGTGGAGAAGTAAACTTACTGAACACTCAATTACTCCAGTGACTCCTAATGGAGATGTGCGTAGCACATAGCACATACCACATAGATAATGCGTAGCACACTACCATTGATGTCAGCCTAAGCCGCTTTTTAGCATTTGATATTCATTTGTTCGTAATCAATGGTATCAATCACATCAATCAAATTGGTGACATAACTACAATTATCCATAAGGTTTGTATGAGGCCAAGAAATGTAAGAAGTTGAGGAATTCAACTGCATGTGCGAAATGGTCAAAACATATTTTTCGTTGCAGATCAACAAAATCTAGTTGGTCGCTGTGCAGCCATGCATCACCACATATCGGCTCATTGCTGATGTATGATTTCATGACCAGGACCATGGAAGCAGGGCTCTGGTGGTGACACCTACAGTTCATGTGGTACATAAGAACACACGAATTTGAAATACAATAAGGCAATAACCATTGTCATACTAAAGTCTATTATTACTTATTATTATATGGTCCCTAAGTGTCAATATAAGCATGGCAACAACAAATAGATGATTACTTTCAAATATTTCCCTAACTGTAAACCTCTGCTCTAATCTTCAATGCAGTCAAGGATCATCCATACCTTCCCGAAAAAGAGCAGAAGTGGCTGTTGAAAGAACACTGGTGCGATCAGCTTTTATGATAACTAGGTGTATTAACCTGCGCTTTCTTATAGGCGTTAAGGCGAAATGACGTGCCACTACGATACGCCCAATGTTATACGGGGGCCTAGTTCGCTGACTTACAAGATATATATATATATATAGTCAGCGAACTATATATATATATATATATATATATATATATATATATATATATATATATATATATATATATACACACGTCACCTTCGTCTAGAGATGTCGTCTAGAGATTCGCCTTAGAATGGTTTTTTTGTAGAATTCTTTCCCACAGTTCCATGCGCCTATTCTGATAGTTGTTAGCCATAAGAGGCTTTGGCAACTGAATATGTAAGTGACGGTAAGGTTGCGCAGGACTGTAGAGCTCCCATTCGAATTCTTCAGTTGAAGACGATCGGTCACCGCAAGGATCTCTAAAAACTGTTCTTTTTTTCGCAGCCGTAAAACGAAAAGCAGACGAAATATGTACCCGTATTTGGCAAAATTTGTGAAATATGTTGTCATGATGTCAAGCATCTTCAGATCATCGTGATTCGGCTTGAATTTTGAGAACACTCCTTTACCAAGCACATAGCGTACCTCAGAGCAGTGAGTAGACCCTGAAACGCACCTCCACTCTCATAACTATGTATTATGAAGGAACTGAAAAAGACGCCTGCCTTTGTATGGAAGTATAAAGCGGAGAAACCCAAAACCGTCCGGATTGAAGTAGTCAAAGCAGTAGAAGTACACGTTATTACCGTGGTCAGACATTTTTCTCGCGTACTGAAGCACTCCAACGTTGATCGCGTAATCACCCATAAGCTGAACGTGTTTGCTGAATTCAATAAGGTGCACTCAAAAACTGTGAATTTCAAATAAATGGATTATTATACATGAAAACGACGCTACGCTTCAAATTTTGGCTTCTACTCAACAAAAAGGCAGACGCACATCAGGCAATCCCACACCCGGCCCACTGTGTGAGCTTGTGCTTTATGCTAATGTGATAGAGACATTGCTGACGAAAATAAGGACGTACGGAGCCATCAAGATGACGGTTTTAACTGGTAGAAAGGGCGGCGGCTTCCTCTGATCAGTTTTCTAGTGTTCAGTTGTGAAATAAGGCAGAACTAGATGAGATTCGACAATAGTTTCAAACTAGTAATCACCTCAACAAGCCGCTCCGTTATTCTTGCCTTGTCCTTAGAATCTACGTCTTTCATGTAATACTCATAGACTTCCTGGCGAACTTCCTCTGCTCCATCAGCGTAGTCGCACTCTTTGATGATACTTTGACAAAATCGCCGGAAGCCTTCCTTCGTCTTGGAGAATCCACCGAGTGCGACTGCAACATGCTTGATCCGACAGAAACTAGGATGAAAACTTGTTTACCGTACCGAAGAAGAGTCCTTCATGCTGGGTCGTACCGGTCATGATGGACTTTCGTGGACTTTCTCGTCTTAGCTCTTCTAATGGCTTCGGAAAAAAATCCCCATCGAAGTTTGGCACAAACAACAGATTACCGGATATGGAAGGATGGAATCCCTGAATGCCAACTCTTGTAATGGTACAAATGTAAATATGCCGTATATTATACCTTTTTTGGATGTATCCCCATCGCGACGCGGTGAGCAGGTTGCGCTTCCATAAAATGCATCAAGCCTTCTGAGTCGTCGTCTGGAAGACCCCTCTTCTTATGAAGCTGGAGTTGAAGAACATCGAAAAGTTGCAGTACCTTTTCCGGTCCAACCTAAATACCTTGCATACTCCCGCCCGAGTGTGGACTGCGCTTTGCTGGTGCGCATTGCGAAGTCGCACTCACCGCAGCCAGCCATTGGAATCACACGATGGAAAAGATCTGGAGCAAAACCATATGAATGTAAACTATGCAGTAAAAGATTTAAGAATGTCAATGACCTCTCGTATGAGGACTGATCGCCAGAAGATCGGCACTAGCACCGCCAGCACTCTGTCCAAATACAGTAACATTGCCACGATCACCGCCAAACGCCTCAATGTTGTCGTGTACCCAATGCAAAGCCAGGGCCTGGTCCCAAAGTCCCATATTGCCTGAATAAGGACATAAATTATGGCTCTGGATGGCTTTGAAAAGATTCGCCAAAGACACCTCTGCACACGTCATCGCCAGTGGTGAAGAATCCGAGCGGGCCAAGCCGATAGTTCATTGAGACGACAACAACATTTTTGACGCAGAGGTTTCTGAAAAGCTTCAGACTATATTCAAGTTCATTCTGGGCGTTCTAAGTAGATGTTCACCTCGCTATAGCCGTGTCGCCGTAGTTGCTGCTGGAATGTATGGAAAATCCGCCGCCGTGAATCCACACCATAACAGCTAACTTCTGTTCCTAAGACTGGACTGCTAAGGGATCTTTACTATATGTATATGTATAAAGAGCTCGCGTCTGTCTGTCTGCCTGCCTGTCTGTCTTCCTGTCTGTCTGTCTGTTTGTCACGAAATTCGATACAACATGAAGGAACACCTGGAGAGGTAGGGTCAAGTTTGGAATGGTTTAGCATACGGCAAGACCAACAGAGCCACGTGAGCTCAGCGGAGCTCCGTCCACAGCGTTCTCGCGGTGGGCGGAACTTCCCATATAAGTTCACAACTCTATGTATTCATTGAAGGCGTGGAGGCCAGAAAAAAAAGATAAAAGTAATGAGCAGGGCCTTATGCGTGCTGGGCATGCGTAAACATAGTGAGGCTCTGCCCAGAGGGCGGGGCGTGCGTTGAAATCGAAGCTACTTTTCAAAAATAAATATAACTCTGTTTAGACAACTTCTAGAATGCGGGAAAAAACTGGTAAGGTGTAATAGAAGAGATATGGCCAAATCCCAGAATTGGGTGGGGTTCGCACGGAAGCGGGCGGGGCCTGAGTTAAAATCTCATAACTCTCTCCAGATGCGTTCTAGAATGCGACCAAAAGGTGTTCAGAAGTTTTAAAACAAATGTGGTCAAACCGTCAAAATGGGCTGAGTTTGCACTAAAGTGGGCGAAGCCTAGATCAAAAGTTGTAACTCTGTTCAGGAATGTCCTAGAATGAGGGAAAAAAATAGGTATAAGTTATGAATAATCCAACATTCCGCTGGATGACTTTATCGTAGATGAGCGGTCATGGAAATATCCTACTATATATAACGCGCTAAGTGTGTCTGTTGGTTTGTCTGTCTGTGTGTGTGTGTTTGACCGGAAATTCATAACTCCCGTTCCAGTGGACCTAGGGAGTTCAAATTTGTTAGGAGTACAGGGTACAGGATAGNTAGATGAGCGGTCATGGAAATATCCTACTATATATAACGCGCTAAGTGTGTCTGTTGGTTTGTCTGTCTGTGTGTGTGTGTGTTTGACCGGAAATTCATAACTCCCGTTCCAGTGGACCTAGGGAGTTCAAATTTGTTAGGAGTACAGGGTACAGGATAGGAACACTAATGGTGGGTGGCGGAGCCGGACTACGCCCACAGGGGGCGTGGTTTGTGCGAAATAAATGTTTAAGCGGAAAGTTATAACTTCTGTCCCCGTGGACCTAAAGCGCTCAAACTTGGCAGGAGTGCAGGCGGCATGATGTGAACACCAATGGTGGGTGGCGGAGCCGGACTACGTCCACAGGGGGCGGGGTTTGTGCGGGAACTCATAGCTCCAGGCTCCGTGGGCCTAGAGCGTCCGAATTTGGTCCGAGTACCCCAGATTGGATGAGAACGCTTACAGTGGTGGCAGGACCGGACTCCGCCTACAGGGGGCGGGGTTAGTGCGGGAACTCATAACTCCAGTCTTCGTGGACCTAGAGCGTCCAAATTTGGTCGGAGTACCCCAGATAGGATGGGAACGCTTATGGTGGGGTTCGCCCACAAGGGGCGGAGTTTGTGTGAAAACCCTAATTTTGGACCTAGAGTGTTCAAATTTGGTAGGAATACAGGCGGCAGGATGGAAACACTTATGTTGGGTGACAGGACCGGACTCTACCCACAAGGGGCGGGGTTCGAGCAGAAACTTATGAATCCTGTTCCTGTAGACCTAGAGAGTTCAAATTCGGTAGGAGTACAGGCGGCAGGATAGGAACACCAATGGTGGGTGGCGGGGCCGGACTCCGCCCTTGGCGTAGTTTGTGCGGGAGATCATAACTCCAATCCCCATAGACCTAGAGCGTCCAAATTTGGTGGGAGTACAGGCGGAAGGGTGGGAACCTTTGCGGTGGGTGTCACGGCTGAACTCCGATCACAAAGGGCGGGGTTTATGTAATAATCTAAACATGGACCTAGAGCGTTCAAATTTAGTAGGAATACAGGCGGCAGGATGGGAGCACTCATAGTGGATGGCAAGATCCCACAGTGGGCGGGGTTTGGGAGGGAAATTATAACTCCTTCAGGGGGCGGAGCTTGCAGAGACTGTCAAAATGGACCTAGGGCGACCAAACTTGGTAGGAATAGAAGAGGCAGGATAGGTACACTGATAATAGGTTGCAGGACTAAAGTTCGCCCCAAAGGGCTGGGCGTGAATAAATAGTGTTAGTTCGGACCCAAACCGTTGAAATTTGAAGGCACAAGGAGTTGGCTGGGAACATTGATGGTTGCTAACATAATAGACTCAGTCGCAATGAAGTCTCTGGACATTTTTTTCTCTGAATGAACGCCTTTGTGATATTATTACTATTACTATTTGGGCACTATACTATCTATTCGGGCACAGCGGGAGATGGCTTACAGAAAAATTTGCTCCCAATTTGGAGCTAATACTGAGGGTGTAGAGCTTTCAAAGAAAAAAAAAGAATCCGAAGTGTTATTCGCGCATAGCAAACTTCTCACAGGAAGGAGGAACGCCCGGCGTAGCCGGGCGAACCCATAAGAAGGAGGGAAGCCCGGCGGTTAGCCAGGCGGCCCGACTGGTGTATAATGCACGCCTTAGCGTGCATAGCCCAACTGGTAAAGGATGAAGTCTCGGGACGTTAATCAATCTCGTCTGGGGGATGCGCCCACGCATTCGACTCCCGTTCAGAATCGCAATGGCGTATTGAATGCGTATGTGGCCTATACGTGGCTTGCGGTGGCCAGCCGATGTACAAGTAGGTACTTTCATCTTCCCCGACGAGTCTGGTATCAATCGACCAAACCCGGAGGGTAGAGGACTTTCTTGACCTAGGCAGATAACGGCCTGGAATCCGAACCCGTGACGATGTAGTGTGCCACTTGCCACTACACCACTTCCGCCCTAGAGAAGTGATTGAAGTGGGGTTCGTTTGCAAAGACCGAAGGGATGGATCTTCGGAAAAAGAATTTAGAGGAGGCGAAGCCATTTGGCGCTATGGCATGCTTGATCCTGGATGAGAACGTTGCACGAGCTTGTTTTTGAACCCATTTTACTTACATTTTCAAGAGCCCATCGTGGTGCGAAGACGTTCAGCGTTAGACAACGTGCTTCGTCCTGACCAACGACATTTAGGAACTGAAATAGTAATGTATGAAGAAGTTCGGGAAACAACTATTCATCGAACCCGATGTACAGTACTCGCCACAAGAACTCAAAAATTTGCGATAATACCGCGAGCTCGCGTCTTTTTCGTCTTCTTTATAAATCGCTTCAAAATGAATTAATCGAGGAGAAAAAAATACCGTTGAACTCAGCTCATCGAGCTCTACAAGATGATACCCTGAAATGTTGAAAATGCTTTATTTTGGATTGCGCCATGCACTTGAGCCCCATCCGAAAAGTGATTGCATGCACATGGGGTGCACGCTTAAGTGCTTGTAGGGGCTCGTTGGCCCCTGAAGATGATCTGTTCAGAATTTGCCTCGGATTGCACCACGTACTCGCTTTACTCAGTACAATGCGGAAATGATTGTTGGTTTTGTTCAGTCTCCATCGTTCCTTTTTTGAGTTGGAGGCTGTAGATGACCGCATCTACAGTCTCTGCACTCAATACTCCTCTCTACAGGTTCCATTGAGAAAATGACATCAATTTGTGGCAAAATTACGGAGTCGATTTTTTTGGCATTTTCCCATATTTGGAGGAATTTTTCTACAGAATCTTAGGAGATGGTGTTGAGGCACTCCACTGTCGCAGACATCTCTTTATTGTCTGCAAGTGTGTAATAGCACACCCTATCACAAACCAAAATTTCTTCCTTGGTATGGCCCCAAACTTCGAACTTCGTCAAGCACAAATCATAAAACAGTTTCTTCCCTTCCCGTTGGTCTTTTTGCAGCTGCGTTGTACACTGTTAGATTCCCCGCGAAAAATCCTATCGAATGATATATAGGTCGGTCCGTGACGAAAACCTCCCTCCACAAGCACTTTCTGCAGTAGGCCTGTCTCTGAGCGATTTCCTGCAGGGCGCGTTTTTTGGTACGCATGCGGCCGAGTACTATAGTGGCGGGAATTTGGAAGCTTTCAAATGATAATTATTTGAATGGGGGATTAGATCTGCTGGTGGCGGGGTACTGAAGTGGCGAGCAGGGGGGTTAGATCGATTAATAATTACTTTAGTGGGGGGTAAGATCTGCAGGGGACGGGGTACTGTAGTGGCGGGAAAGTGGGCAGTTTGAACGGGAGTTTTGAGACGGTCTGAAGGAGCGGTTTCCAATTCGTTTATAATGTGGAGGCTGTAGATAAGTGCATCTACGGTCTCTGCACTCAACACTCCTCCTGACAGGTTCCATTGAGAATATGACATCAATTTACGGCGAAATAAAGAGTCGATTTTTCTGGCATTTTTCAATTTTGGAGGAGTTTTTCTCCGGAACCTGAGGAGGTGGCAGCGAGGCAATCCACTNATGCTCTATCCCTCCCGCCGTGATACCAGAGGCATATAAAACCCACAGAGGTCAGAGAAAGGCGCGAGTTCACTAGCTACGGCTAGGCACTCGTCCTTCCTATTCATTTTTGGAGACCTAGCCTTGATGAAGAATGCTTCAAGTGTTTTTCGCGCCGAAATGAGGGGTTCTCGTAATAGAATCCTAACTGTAATTCCGAATACAGCACCTTTATGGGACTCTACTCGGTGTGCACCCAAGGGGGTCTCCACCCTTGCTCGATTCAAACCCTCCAGATGTTCCTTGACCCTAACGCACACCTTAAAACGTTTAACGATAATGAGGAAGGCGATAACACCGAAACGTAAGTTGATAAGAACTTGTTTACGATCTTGGCATCAGGTTTTAATAAAATCTTATAAAATTATTGCAAAACTATGCCAAGATTTATCGAGAGTCGAACATGGATGCTTATTATGGTACACTTTATCAAAGATTAACAGTCCTCTCTTGGTACAGCTCCAAACATCGAACTTCGTCAAGCCCAAATCATAAAACAACGTTTTTTTTCCTTTCCGCTAGGGGAAGAAACAATCCTCATATAGCACTTTTTACGGAGAATCTAACAGTATACAATTTAATTGCAAAAATTCAAGCGGCAAGGGGAAAAAGCATAATTTTGTTTTTTTTATTTTGAAGCGATTTATAAAGAAAAGACGAAAAAGACGCGAACTCGCGGTATTATCGCAAATTTTTGAGTTCTTACGGCGAGTACTGTAGGACATGTTTGTAGGCGGAAATTTTAACTATTCAGAGTGCAAACTACAATAATATAATCTAAAGTGCGTAATATAATGGTGCGAAACAATCTGAGGTGAACATACACTCGTCGCATATACGATACAGCCACCCATGAACTTCACCAAAATTCACGTTTCAGAGCACTCCAGGAAAAGGTTCAATATGGAATAGTGCCCTACTCGGACCGTAAGTTATGAACCAACTTCTCTTCATTTTTTCTCAAGAGATCATAATCCTCATGTTGCCAAATGATACAGCCACGGAACAAATCAATTCATTCAGCCGCTAAGAGACGACAAGGAGAGGTCGTTGTGTGATTATCAAGTGATTTAGCTCCCTTCCTTCGAACTGCTTCAAAGGCAAGATTGTTTAAGCTAAGTAAAAGCTGTCAATGAGTTTCCGGCCAATTTTGTGTCCCAACCGTTAACGATTGCTTTTTTAGCCCACTGATACCTCCAACTGGTTGTTTCTTTCATAAAGCTCCCTTGTCATCTATCTACATACATTTTCCACTAGATTCAAATCAGGGTGTTAGCCAGCCAGGGCAAAAGTTCGACGTGGTGCCGACTGAACCGAGCCTGGGTGCTCCGAATGACGTGAACCGGGGCATTATACTACATGAATACAAGGTTCTGCTGCCGATTCTGACATCGAAAAGGAATAAGAGCACGGCGCATTACGATTCGATAACCGGAAGAGCTGAGCTCTTCGGAACAAACCATAAATGAAGAAACGAAAAGAAGTTGATGCCCACATCATGACACCTCCTTCCTTTGAAATTTCTTCTGGAGAGCTGTAGCTTACTCTTTCTCAGTTCGTGCCAGTAGAACCAGCTCCCATCTGGGGCATCACGGTTAAACTTTTTTCATCGAAAAAAAAACAGCAACTTGGAGAATGAAACATCAAGAGGAAGAAGAGTAAATGGCAAGCCACGAAGGGGCATCTTACTCCCGTCAGTTCGGATCACTTCCTGGCAACAACGACCCGCGATGTTTTCGGTCATAAAAGAAGCCTTCCTCATTTCCGTCAACGATAAACTCAGACATTTCCTATGACGTCCCAAACAGTAAGCCGTGGGACATTGAGCTTCGAAGAGGACTTGATTAGACGCTTCTTCCAAAGTCGTTCCGTCCTTCTTTTGGTTCCATACTCTGTAGGATTCGTGACGAAATTGTCGACAAATGAATGTCATCTTCTTTTACAGAAATTTGAACTTTTCAATATCGGATAGCAACTTTTCTCCACCCATAAACTGGAAAACGTGACCCAAATCAAGCATTTGTGCGAGGTGAAAATGGAAAACGACGGAAAAATATAAGGTGGCTATACCATTAAACATGGGCAAAAAGAACTTTTCTGAAAAATGTAGGGAAAATGGTCCATGTTATTGAGATGGAACTCGTTGTTGGTTTACAAGTTAGGTCCGAGTAAGGCTCAATTTCCATATCAAGCCTTTCCCTGCAGTGCCCTGGGACGTGAGTTTTGGTGAAATCCATGGGTGGCTGTATCATAATGCTTCCCAATGCACATGTATGCATGTAACTGAAATGAATATTCTTCCTACTATTAACCTCAACATCTTTCCTTCAGTCATATAAATTGGTTAGTCATTTAGTCATAAATCATCCCACCTGAGCAAAGTATTCATCTGTTTGGGGACTTCTCGGTCCGAAATGTGTACAGCACAGGACCTCTGTCCACGGCTTCACCGGTTGTGGTTTCTGAAAACGCCGATCGCATTTTATTTGGGCTGCTTGTATACATGTTACCTACCATCACAGTTTAAAATATCACCTTGTATCTGAGATTTCCAACAGGTGGTTCAGCGTATGGAATTCCCATATACATATCAACGGCTCTGCCATCATGTAGCAAATATTGGCGCCCACGAACAGGACCCGACGAGGTCTTTACGAGTGGGGAGCATTCCGTCGAGACACCAGTGCCCATGCGATGGTGCTAAACTGCCACCAAGCTGTTTTAGCAGAATGGAGAGTGAGGCCGAAAAAGCGTCATGAGTCGTTAAAGGAGTAACTTTGCAAAATAGTATTTAAAGGCACTTTTCACGATACTTTTGAGGTACCCATTTTAAGTTGAAAAGAGGAAGTGTTGACGTAGAGTACTGCATCGGTAGCGAAGAAAGCGATAGAATTCCGAAAAGGCCTCCTCAAAAAAACAAGGCTTTCCAAAGTAGTGCACATCCAGCCGAAAAGCTACATCCAGCCGAAAAGGGCCAAAAGTGCCTTTAACTGCGGCCATGGATTATGACAAACGGTTTGACTGCTTACATGGGAGTACCTTGAGACAATACAGCCGCTACAACAATGTTCAGACCACTCCCCTGTGGGTACGGCATTCACACGATACAATGGCTAACCCCTTATTGTGCCCTATCCAGGATGTTTCTCGACCTGACATCGGCATATATGGTATCAGAAGGGCCCCGAATTCATCCTATAGGGAAATATCTGAAACCACACTTTTCGTGAACTATGCCTTTAAGCTAACAATATTCGACTACTTGCAGACGGATTATGTTCACATCATCACACCAATGCCCAGACTTGATCAGGTGGTAACATGAGGGCTCGCGTATGCTCGGGTCTATTAGGCAGCAAGCGCCTACATTCACTCGTGGGACTTAGTTTATTACGAAGCAAAAATTGGACAAGCAAAAATCTGCAATCAAGGGCTGGACATAAAACGACACAGAAATCGAAAAAACCAGAGAGATTATAATAGGAAGGAGAAAATACATGTTCGCGCCATTTGGCGTTGGGATTCGTTCTGCGAGAATCTTCTTCTTCTTCTTGTACTTCTTCTTCTTCTCTCTAGCGTTAATTCCGCGCCGTCGCAGGGTGCGCTGTTCTTGTCAGCCGTCTCCATTTCATTCTATCTACGGCATCTTCCGCCGTCACCTTGGCTTCGGCGAGGTCCTTCTTGATCACGTCCCTCTTATTTGGGGCTCCTCGTAGTCGCTTACCTTGAGCCTCAAACTCCATTGCTTCCCTTATCGGATGGCTCTGTGGTCTTCTTAGTACATGACCGGACCATCGCAGACGCTGCTCTCTCATCTTCAGTTGAACTGGGGTTGTTTGCATAGCCGTCCTGATGTCATCATTTCTGACCCGATCAGCCGCGTACAGCCGCAGGCCCATCTGCGCATTCTCATTTCAGCAAAGTGGAGCTGTCCTTCATGGGATTTACTCACGGGAAAACACTCGCTGCCGTAGAGCATCGTGGGCCTTACCACTGTCCGACATACCTTTCCTTTAAGGGTCCTGGAGCACCGACGGTCGCAGAGGATACCGGCGGACTCCCTCCACTTCATCCATTCCGCATTTATTCGGGATTTTAATACCTGGTCCACGCTACCATCAGCGGCTAGATCACTCCCCAGGTAGCGGAAGTTTTGGGCCTTTTCGATGGCTTCCTCGCGACCATCGACGATTGACTCCGTGCCCTCCTCGGAGCTAAGAAATTTGGTTCACGTTCAGCCGAAATCCATTCTCCGCCAATACCCTCTGCCAGTTCTGGAGTTTGCCCTGGAGTCCTTCCCTGATCTCCGCTATCAGAGCGATGTCATCAGCGTAGAGGATGGTCTTCAGTGGTCCATCCATGAGTTCTTCTGTGATGACATCCATCGTGCGCAGGAAGAGGAACGGGCTCAGAGTTGATCCCTGGTGTGCTCCAACTGTGACATCTATTGCTCCGGTTTGGCCGTGTTGGGTGCGCATTGTTGTGGTGGAGCCATCGTACATGTCTTTCACCAGAGAGATCAGGTGTTCTAGAACGTTCGACCGTCTTCCGCGACAAATCCTCGACCTTTCGTTTCGACCGTCTTCCGCGACAAGTCCTCTAGAGAGCGCTCCGGAACCTTTCGTTTCCGGAGCGCTCTCCAGAGGACTTGTCGCGGAAGACGGTCGAAAGCCTTCTCCAGAGCGAGGAAGGCTAGGTAGCAAGGTCTATACTTCTCCATAACATGCCTAGCTATGGAGATGGAATCCGTTGTAGACCTTTCAGGCATGAAGCCGAACTGCTCCTGCGAGATTGGGACCGATTCCCTCAATCTGAGTCGACAGCCGCTCGTACAGTTTCATTGTGTGAGCAGTCAACCTGACCCCCCGGTAGTTGGAACACTCCATTGCGTCCCCCCTTCTGCTTGAAGATGAGAACGATGGTATCATCCACGCATCTGGGATTCTTCCTTTAGCGGTGACAGTGTTCAGGAATCGGGTGAGCCACTTTATCCCGTGCTCTCCGAGCGCCTTCCATGCCTCGATCGGTACTCAGCTGGCTCGTTGCCTTCGTTCTACGAAAATGAAACCATGAAAAGAGCCAAGTGGAGTAGCTTTTCAACGTATTGAGGTATTGACGCAACACTCGCGCAGAATCTCTAATGGTTTTCCTCCTTTTCAATTATTTGAAGAAGTCCTGGTGATGCACAAACTATTATATGAACACAGCCAATAATATTAGGTTGATGCATAATTATTGCGGATTTTTTCGCGGCTTCTTCTCTCGCGACAAAATGAAACTTTTGAATACGAGATTTTTGCAGAAATAATCTTTTCGCTTTCCTTAACAGAAATATGTCTAGAAAGTCATCTTCATATACGCCAAATTATGCTCTATTAATTCGAGAAATGTTGGAAGGCGGCACACTCATAACATGATCTCAACAAACTTCTCGACGATGGAACAGCCAGCCAAAGCCGAATAAAGAATGGAATTCACTTCTACAGTCGCCCCATTCACCAACAGACACTCTTATGGATCACCAAGTTGATCGCCCTTTGAAAAATCGGTTAACGATCAGAACTTTCGACGACGTGGATGGCTGGATCGCCAACGTCAAGGCGTGATCGCCACCATGAATCGGAACTTTTTCGCCTGTGGAATACGACTGCCTAGCAAATGGGAAGCAGTGCTTAACGTAGTAGTGGATATGTTCCGGAACAATTATTTGAACATGTCTTTGCCAGATATTTCTATCGTTTCTTCAAGTAAAATTTGCTGAAAAAAATCCGCAATAATTATGCATCAACCTAATACAATGGTCTAAGAGCGCCCAGCGATCTCGAAAACTCTCAGATGAGAGATCCTTTTGTCATTCTTGAAGTCAATCCGTCATTTGAGCTTGAATTCTTCGAAGGAACAAAGTTTCCCTTCCAAAAGATAATGAAACGGAACTTTTAAACCCAGAAGGGTTCGAAGGCTTTTGGAAGTAACTCTGGATTAATTGTTGGTCCCAAGGCCAAGTAAATCGAGCAATCAAGCCAACACTAAACTACGGTGGTGAATGAACGAAAAGAAGTGAACAGGCGCGAGGTCAGAACAAGGGAAGATGGTGGGAAAAGGAGGGGAAGGGGGAATGAAGGGGCTTGTAGGTTGTTACAGGACGATATACGGTCCTCAGAACTCTTTTGTAGAAACTACCTTGAGAAGATAAAAGAATGTTTGCAATCATTCACAATGGATATAACTATAATCCGAATAAACTAAAAATTTTTGGGATGCTCAGGCCGTTTTCGTGAAACAGAACATTCAATCTTATACTAACGGGACCACCACCTGTTAGCTGGCGAATCAGCTAGATTAGAGCAGCTGCACCTGCACATACGTTATGAGATTATTCAGTGTCTCCGGTTTCAATCCGTCATTGGATTCAAAGGAAATCACCAGAATTCCGGTTTCCGACCATCAACATCCCAATTCCAGGAATGATAGAAGCAGCTAACACTCTGGTACTTCGTAATTAATAATAGCATTAACATCAAAGCCAAAAATCTTTAATGAGTTTCGCGATTAGCGGAAACTCGGTTGTCATCCCCCTTCTCAACTCTGTTTGACCAGCAGAGGATGCTATTAGAGAACCACAAATGTGTACGACTTTTATAAGTACCCTAGTTCGACTCTAAATGAATCTTGGCAAGGCTTTGAATAAATCTCATAAGACTTGTTATGCAACCTGCGACCAAGACGATGAAGGAACTTTAATTCACTTACGTTCCGGCTTTATCGCCTTCGTCAGCCTGGAAACTCAAAGATAGTTGTTATCCATTCTCATTCAAAAACTGAAACTTCGAAAAACGTTTCCCTAGACCCAGTGTTTCTAAACAGGCATGATAACCACAAACTTTTTTTTAATCCACCTTAGAGAAAACCGGTCTTGGAGGCGACCACCCGAAACTGACTCAGAGGGACTCGGAGGTGGCATGCCCTCTCGCTCTCTCCGTGATACCGGTTGCGAACCCTTTCACCAAACCACTCACTGCTGATAACAAATCAGAAGAGAAGGCAAAATGAAGAGAGGGGTTTTCAGTGCATGAACATGGAAAATGCTGAGAAGATACGGAGAAACAAGAGAGAAGTTGAGAGAAGAGAAGAAGTGAAAAATCGGCACAAAATCCGAGAACGTGAGATAAGCAAATATGGCGCTGTCAGTTGAACAGAAGAGACTGTTGGTAAACGACTGCTACTGTATTACAACGGCCAATCAAACATCGAGCTAGAATCTTAGAAGATCACAGTGCCAATCATCAAAGAACAATCAACGATAAACAAAAAGCCGGGGTGATCGATTCGAAAGAGTAACCAAGGAGCATGTGTAAGATTGCGTGCATTCTGTTTACCAGTAGAGCCCTATGAGCTCGGTAATGTGTTTGTTCGAAACCGATCAACGACAGGCGAAGCCATAGAAGAATGGCTTATGATTGAATTTGAAGAGAAGAAAAAAGATACGGAAATAGAGGGAACCTATACCCGTGTGAAGGTATCATGGCTAGCCGAAAAAAGCCTTCCTTCGTTTTCATACGAATTCATTTGCAATTCATCACAAAGCAGATAAACGAGAAGCCTGACATATACATGTAACTGATAAGGTGGGACTGAACCACGGCTGATAAAATTCACCCCAGCCAAACCAACTATCGCAAAAGTTGCTCTGG